ATAAAAATGCAGTTTCAACTGCTTTTTATTTTATAAAATCCGTCTTCTTGCGCCACCAGAGGGCCTTTTAAACAATAGGTAGTCTGTTAGCGTTGGTCAGTAGTAGTCCAAATTCGATACGAACGTTTGTTTCTTGAAAATTTGATCACGATTTAAATACAGTATTTACTTTTAATATTACCTATATGCCATCGAAAAGAAAACGTGTTGTATTATCATGAAAAGACAAATTAAAGTATTTGTTTCGATTATCCGGATTTTTCCTTATCCGGACTACCTTCATCCCCAATTAGTCCGGATAATCGAGGTTCTACTGTATTTGAATAACCTAATGTTTATCAGTAAACATTCAATTAATCACTATGATTACAAACTTGATAGGAACATAAATGTTATTTTGTGTTTATTTGATAAATAATTAAGACAGTTTTATAGTTGTTTTTAGCAGATTTACAGTACATGACCTTGTTGAGATTTTCTATATATTTGTTATATTTCATAGAAAAACTAAGTAAATATACTTTATTAGAAAACTATATTACATGAAATGAAATTTAATTGATATTATTCTATATAAACGTTAATTAATTACTGATAAAATCCATCATTCATGGATGTTAAACTGATAAGTAAAAACTTAAAAATTTAATGCATATTTACAAGTGAATTAAAAAATGTTTTTTTATGTATACATTATTTGTAACATTTTTTTACTTTTTGATGATGATAAATTTTTCTAATTTTTACTATTGATTTAGTCTTATAATTTAAATTTAAATGACACAATAGCAGTATGTTTCTAATCTCAATCTTGCATTTTGAGATTTCAACTAATAGAAGACAGAAATATTTTGAAAACTGTGAAAAATATTAAAGGAAATATATATTATTTTATACTAAAACATTAACTTATATAATTGCACAAATTATTTATTCATTTATTTGACAAAATATATTAACAGGTTGTTAAATTATGCTGATTTTTTAAAATTTTTTATTCTAGATGCGATTACAACACATATTCATTAGAATATATAATATCTATGGGATGTCTTCATGAGAAACAATCGGCATTAAAGGAAAATGTAAATGATAACTTAGCAGAAAATATGTCAGATATGGAATTGTCTTGACCAAACTTAGTTTTCAATATTTGAAAATTATTGTAAAATATTCACATTGTTAATTAATCAATATGTATTTTAAATAATTTGTTATGAAAATAAATTTTTCATCTTTTGTAAAGTTTAACTTTTATTGTTAGGTATTATTTATATATTTATTATTTACTTAATAATATAAATGAAAATTCTATAAATTATTTATATATAACATAAAAATAAATTTTATAAAATATAATTATACTGTATTAGAATGTGTAGTAGGCCTACATTTTATTGAGCTACAATTTGAAAAATTTGCAGACCTATAAATTCCCGCTGTCGTCCGTCTGTCTTTCCTTAATCTCGAGAAGGGAGTTACATAGATGAAAGCCGAAACCAGATATGGAAATATTACAACAGGAGGCCCCGATTAACTGTTGATATATACGAACTTCTGATGCTAGCCGGAAGTCACGTTACCTCAATTCAAAAATTTTTCCCTGAAAAGTTAGATGACCAGCATAACACTGTTTTAACAGGAAAAGTATGATATACAGTACAGGGGCGAGACTCTACTAATTTGAGGTGGAAAGTATATGTTTTAAATTAAAAATTGAAGCTCGGCATTATGATGATATCAATAACTACAGTATTTACTTGTATTATGCTGTATTACAGTAGGTACCACTTATTGTAATCGTGGATATTGTTATCAATTGTCTAATATCAGCAAGATCAATACATCCCAAAACACACTGAATAAATTTCAAACGTTTCGCTTATTGTAATCATAAATTTAATTATAATAATAATTATTAATATAATAAACAACACTTTTTGCCCGCGACTGTAAATTAATACCCTAAATTAATGTTATACCCTATTGGTTGGGTTATCTAATTCTGTCTAATAATTATTATTATTATGTTCGTTATAGATGGGTTAAAATTTACTTAAAAAGGTTAATGGCAGGCTACTCACACAGTTGATAATAACAAACCATGTCATTGCAATAAAAACAGCACATTTGGTTGGTTTACGTTAAATCATCCAATCATATAAGGCAGTGGTTTCCAAACTTTCTGTATCTCCTCCCCCTCTTTTTCAAAAAAAAAAGATTGTTGCGCTCCTTTAATTTTCGTAACAATTTAATTTCATAAACATTGTCCTTATAATTTATTTAATGGCATACAGTATACCTTATTAATTAATTAAATAGAATATATTGTTCGCCGGAGCTCAACTCTTGTCGAGACGTTTCAGTAAGAGTTTGGATGGATTTCTAGCATTCTTGTTTGTTTGTTTATTAAGTTATGGCAACGCAACACTTGGTCGATCTACCTAGAGGAAACACCTTCTGGGAGGTCTTTTAAGGGTAACTGGCCTTATTCAAGTGTTACAGACGTAGAGAAAACCCGGAAAACTCCATGTGGTCAGCCCGTCCTGATGAGGCGCGAACCCACGACCGACTCCCAGTGCTCAGGGAACGAAGATCGATTGGCCACTGGTGGGCCTTTTGCATTCTTACCCGAGTCGTTCGGATGAGGGTTGTGAATTAGGTATAACCGTTTTGCTAGTTCATTTTTCTGACATAGATTTGACTTTTTTTTTGTATTGAAAAATGATAATTTGATAAAAGATGCGCGCCCCACAGTTTGGAAAACATTGATATAAGGTGTTTTTACTGTCATATGCATATGTTAAACTTTCGTTATAATCTTACATTCAATGCTGTATTAGTACTGTAACTAGATTTATGTGTGTCCTGTGCAAGATGTTATTTTTGGCCTTTCTTTCTTTTAGGAGAAAAATAAGAGAGAAATGGTCGGTTACTTTTTAACTTAAACCAAAAACGTTATGGAATCGGTTCCTACGGCGACAAAATTTAAAATCTGAAAATAAAAACATATACTGATCATTTTTATAACCCGCATCTTAGTACGTTCATGTATGGCCCTGTGCATGTCCACTGACTGCACTTGCCTAGTTATGGCATTGACTATTCAGTATTGTAGTTTAAATTTCGGTTTTTTGGCACTCAATACTTCATGTATATGCTAGTTCTTTGCTGTTGTTGAAAAATGTGGTCATCATTACCGCTTAATTTAAGTACAGTACAGTACAGTACTGTTTTGTATAACTCTTGCGTAATGGAAGTAGCAAATAAGTTTATTCCTCTGTCAAAGATGAACTTGAAATTTTAGAATGTTGTGATAAGTTGATAAAATGAATCAGCACAATGCTGTTTTACGGTTAAAAAAAATAGAAAAACAGTGAATATGGAAATGTCAACAGAAACATATGAAAACCTGATTCGCAAGAGAAATCGAATCGGAAAGAATAGGGAAGTTGAATTAGCTTTGAAGTTTAATGATGCTTGTGAAAAATGCTCGGGTTAACTGATGGTCATAAAGAAGAATTTGTTAAAAATATGGGAAAGAAAGATTTTATTGAAACCGATGGATGATTGTACCAGTAAAGAAAACGAGAGAACATTGTGTGTAGATGATGAGAGGAAAAGTTCTATTTCTTTGTCAAAAATTATTGCTAAATGTTTACCGAGGACAAACGAAACATCATTTTATTTTCGCTCAATGCCTGATCTTAGAGCCTGTATGTTTAAACATGAAAGTGCTGAAGGAACCATATTGTAAGAATTTTGTTACGTTAATATGCAAGGCCAGAAATAAGACTTAGTAATTGGAAAAGGTAAAAATTGTAGATGTTTTAAGGGTGTAAAATATTTAACTATATTTACAAGTGGATTACTGTTCAAATAAACTTTAAAACGAAGGATTATTTTCTTGGTACTGTAGACAATTGTACAGCACATCCATGTGTTAATAATATCATTAAAATAATATTTCTGCGAATACATCACTGATTCAGTCATGCGACCAAGAAATCATATCTAGTTTAATAGGTATAGCCTACTACAGAAGTGAAACGTATACAAAAATTTTAGAAACTAGATGTTAATCTAACACGAACTGAATGACCACTATTGCTAAAAGAATTTTCCTACTTGACGCACTACATCTTTTGGCAATGTCGCAGGATCAAGTGTCTGAGAAGGGCGCTGAGAATAGTTTAAAAAGAGTGGTTAAAAAAAAAATAGGCAAGAGACATATGAAAATGAAGTCGTCTGTTGAAGAGGAGATCATAAATAATACTCTAGAACAGGGGTGTCCAGCCCGCGGGCCGCATGCGGCCCAATAAACGTGTAAACAAAACCGACAGATTTTTTAATTTAATTTTATTTATTTATTTNTTAATAATAAATTCAATGTTATTTACAAGAATTAAAAAAAAAATTTAGTTGAATAATTGATTTTAGAAGTAAAGATATATTGATGTGTCTGTCTACATGAAAATATAAAATAACATTATATTTTTCAATTTAATTTAATTCAACTAGTAAAATCTTAATAAATTTACTCTAACATTTTTTTCTTTTGTTAGTTTTAGCTGTTGAATTTAGACCAGATGGCCAAGAGTTTGCTGCAGCAACAATTAATGGTCAAATTTCATTTTTTAATACTGAATCCAATACTCAAGTTGGTAGTATTGACAGTAGAGATTTAGAGGTTGGCCGCAAGGATTCTGATTTCATTACAGCAAAAAAATTACAAGCAGCAGCGTAAGTATTGAACCAAAGAAGTAAACATTAAATTTGTATAATGTTGTTATATTTAATAGTATATTTCATGTAAATTTGTGTTGTGTAAAGTACTGTATTTTATTTTATTATTATGTAATAAAATGACATACTATTTAATTTTTCAGTTGATACAAAAATACAAACTAAAGATATTGAATAAATATGAGAGAATCAGATTTTAAAATATTTATGATTTTTATGCTTTCTGAGTTTAATTAACTTTAGGAACCACTACTTATAACTGTTTTACAGAAATTTATTAATTTGTTTTTAATATTTTAGTTTTTTTACAACTTTATGTTATACAAGTGATGGTGATTATTTATTGGCTGCTGGAAAATCTAAAAATGTTTGTATATATCATGTTAAGGAACAGATTTTATTTAAAAAATTTGAAATAACTGGTAACCATTCTTTTGATGGCATTGAAGTAAGTATTATAAACTATTTATAAGTTTTTGTTTATTTATTTAGTCCCTTAACTTCATATTTTTCTGTTAAATTAGTCTTTTATCAGTCAAAGAAAGATGACAGAATTTGGAAATAAGGCTCTGATAGAAGAAAGAGATGACGAATCAAATCTTGCAATAAGTCTTCCAGGTGTAAGAAAAGGAGATATGGCTGCAAGAGCATTTAAACCAGAAATAAAAGTTTCAGGAATTCAGTTTTCTCCAACTGGTAAAGTTTTGAATTTTATAATCTGCAAAGAAATCAAAGATGGATAAAATTTGAATACTATATTTTCCAGCATGTAATCTGCATTGGCATATAGCACACAGAAAATTGCTAAAACAAAAATAAAAATATTACATAACACACTGTTGTATACTGAACTTATTTGATTCTGTTGTTGAAAAGATTTTTCTTAACCCATATGCATTAGGAAATGTAAAAGAACGATTGCCTGTTTTATTTTTTCTCCCATTAGTAATCATTATAGATGTAATTATAATTAGCCTGAAGCATGACTCAAACCTGCAACTTCTGCTTTCCCTGCAGATGCATTGCCAGTTACACTACCTGAACCTCTATCCAATCTTCACTTCCATAACTATTAATCCATACGTAGCAACAATGTTATGTGAACAAGAAGATTAATGGCAGAACATCAAAGAATGTGATGATCTTTGAAGATAAACTACATCATTTTTAGGGAGAAAATACAGCAGCTATGGTTGTTTGCATTTTCTTCATAAACACACCATGAAAAAAAATAAATAAATAGAGATAGAGATTAGAAATGTAATAGAACCTTCCTTTATTTTTTGATCATTTTGTTTTTTCTTCAGAAGTGAGTATGCTTATATGCCTAGAGCCAGTTATTTATAACTCAGCTGCCCTTATGGAGAACAAATGCTGAACGGTATTTGTTCTCCATTTTGGGCCAGACATTACTTGTAGGTAACACTGTTTCATAGACTTTATAGCATGGATGGTCCTGGAAGCTTGTGCTCCCACCAGCATTGTATTAGAATTCTTGAAACTGTTAGGCTCTCTCATCTTGACAAAATTATAATTATTGACAGAGTTATTATTTCTGATGCTTAATGCAGTTTTCTGTCTCAAATATTCTGTTTCCCCACATTTTGTTGACGTTATAATTACATCAATATTTAGTAATTAATTTAGAAGTTTCTGAGAGAAAAGGATTGATGGAGTATAGTGATAGCCAGCTGAATGACATAGTGGGAATTACAGGTGATAGGTGCTGGAGTTGTCCCAGTTGGTGCCACGAGAAACCAATATGGTTATATCTATTTTAAAGTAAAATCTGCAAGTAAAACATGATGCTGACATTTATAATGCATATCAATATAAAATATAATGTTTATAATTTGTTTAAGTAGACAAGTTAAAATAATGCAAAAAATACAAGATTGTATCCAATAATGCAGTCTAATAGTTAACAATACCAATTAGCAGTTATTATTTTTGTTAATCTTTTTGCTAATAAGCAAATCTTAATTTGTGAATATGAAAAATGATTTGCAAATAATAAACAGTATGTATGTAACTTGTGTAAATATGGAACTTATACTGTACAAATTGCTTAACTGTTCTTGATGGATATTCTAAAATATAAAAAATTATAGAAAGCAATATACTGCCTGTTAGCAATGGCACTTGAGTCTTGAATAGATGAAAATCATTTTGAAATTTATTTCTATTAATCAGGAACATGAATTATGTCTATTCAACTATTGACTAATATGTCGTTAAGATACTAGTAGTATTAGCTTTTCTTTTACTTTATATTTTATTATAATAAATATTAAAATACTCATCAAAAGCTGTGATTTTGTAACTTTGTTATTAAAGAAATTAGTTTTGTCATCTTGTGGTGCATCTTGATTTAAGTTTTTATTATAAGAATACATATTTTTCATTTATTATCTCTAGAGATATAAACTGTGTTCCATTGTTTATCATTTTTATAGTTTCATAGAATGTAAATACTTCTAATAAATTTTTTTGATTTTGATATAATATTTTCACACAATCTAGATTTTTACAAATAGTTATAGCTTTGATAATTGCTATAATAAAAGTACATGAAGTTCCTGTGCAACTTTTGTTGTATAGTCTTATATTTAATGATGATGATGACTTTTGCTGTATAGTCTTGTATTTAATGATGATGATGATATCAATTTATTTAAAATTATTAAGGCTTCAACACTAAAGTAATTTTTATTTTATTTATTGTAAGAAAATGGAGTGTATTTAAATGGTATTAGTTGTTCATAAATATTGAAAATGATAGAAATGACTTAACTCAAAAATCTTATTAAATTAATCTTCATAAATTTGCAAGAATTATTATTTTTGATTAAAAGAGATTGAATCTTTTTGAAATTTTTTTTCATTTTTATTTCATATTCTGGTCATTTCTTTCTAATTAGAACTATGATTCAAATTTTAAGTTCTCATCTAGTCAAAAGATAATATGTTAAGATACAATTAAATTTTAAAAATAATGAAATTTAGTAGTTTATTCCAAAGCATGCTTTAACTGGAAATTTTAAAATTTGAGTCAATATTTTAAAAAGGAACAGAGTAATTGAATATTTCTTTCTTGCTGTAATCTTTATATATTATAAAATAAGAAATTAATTTTATAATTTATAATTAGCAAGTTGTGTCAAAAAGTTAATTTTAAAACAGAAAAAAGATTTTATAATAATATTTAAATTATATTTTTAGGTCGTTCATGGGCAGCTACTACAACAGAGGGTCTTTTGATATATTCTCTTGATTGTACTCTTGTATTTGAACCATTTAACCTTGAAGAAGATATTACCCCTTCCTCAATACGACAATTGTTACAAGAAGAAAATTTTTCTGATGCCTTTATAAATGCACTTCGATTGAATAAACCTTCAATAATAATTGAAGTTATGGAAACTATTCCTGTGAATAATGGTCAGTAAGTTTATTATTTTATTTCTTAATATTACTGTACATTAGTTTTAAAATTTTTCTATTGTTATTTTTATAGTGGAAGTCATAGCTAAATACATGCCTCATATATATGTTGAAAGATTATTAAACTTTCTTGCTGATCATTTGGATAAAACAAAACATATTGAATTTTATTTGACATGGGTGAAAGAACTTCTCACTTCTCATGGAATCATGTTGAAAGAAAGATCATCCCAAATGTCATCTACATTTTGCACCTTACAAAAAATATGTATGCAATATATTGAAGATCTGGGAAAAATGTAAGTTTTTCTGTAACTAATAAAAATTCATTTTTATATCAATTTTGAAATGTGAATATGAAGAACATATTTTATTTATTCATATTCATACAAGATATTTAACTGTATTCTTTGTTAACACATGGAATTTATGCTATTATCAAGTTTCACTAGTGAAGAATGATAACTTATCTGATCCTAGTGTTAAGTTATAGAGGTAAAAATTAGATAATATGTATTTTTTCTTTAGAATAACACGAGTGTACAGAATGTTGAGTTACCAACAGTTGATTTTCTGAGACTCTACTCTATTCAAATAAAATTATCTGATTTTTTCATTATTATTATTTTTTATACTAATTAAAATTAGACTACACCTTCTCAAATTCAAACATGAAAGGAAATAAATATGTGACTTTAGAAGAAAATAAGAGTAACAAATATTTAAAAACTATGCACAGTTTTATGAAAGAAAACAATACAGTAGGAAATCGATTATCCGACCCCCGATTAACCATCACATCGGTTAACCGACCGTTCTAGTTGGCAAATTTCAAATGTTCGCTAGTGATGTGGCACTACAATATTTGGCTATGTCTTGGTTACTTTAATATTATTTTTGTTAAATTTTTGCATGTTTTAGCTGGCAACACGGCTCGACCATTGAAGGGAGGCATAAACTATGCTATAAACAAAAAATTGTAGGATTACTTACCGAGTGTGCACCGTTCGACTACGCCGTTGCTCAAGCTTGTTTTCGTCGCGGAACAGCACAC